TGTTGTTAAACATTGTTTAACATTGTGTAGCCCTCCGCAAACAACAGTTGTTTGCGGAGGGATTGGTATAAGCAACATCCACCTCAATGACGTTTGGTGCTCTGACGGCTCCGGTGGAAGTCGGCAACGCCTGTCTGTGTGCGCCCCATGGGAACCCCGATGGGCCATGGGATTCACGGTGAATCATTCACCACCATCAACGGTGAGTTCCCTTCGAATGTGTATTGTTGAGAGTACGCCTGGTATGATATGCGGCCAGTCTATAATCATGGTCGGGGGCTCTACTATGACGGGTTTCCTTTCTGACGTGTGGAGGTCAGACGACGGCGGAGTGTCGTGGAAAGAGGTAGGCCCAAGTCGGGCCGCCCGACAGGCTCCAGTATATTGTGAATTGTTGGTATTCAGATAACGCTAGTCTCCGTCTAAGATGGAGACTTCGGTCCCCGAGGAGGAAAGGCTGTCGTTCAGCACAATCCGAGCGGTATGCTAGTTTTATGTATTGGCGAAATAACAAGCACTCAAGGTGGTAAGAAGAATCGACATTAGATAGGAGTGATGGTTTCTCTGTGTAGGCATCGGTGAGCCGAGTAATGATGTCGATCAGTGCAGTTCCGACGTTTGGATTAGTCGAGATGAAGGATTCTCATGGATTAAGGCTTCCACTATGACCAGCGAGTCATGTGGATGTGAGAAGTGCTGTTGTAACGTCGTTGGACTATTTTAAGCAGGTCTCCCACCACTAGGTATTTCCCAAGATGGGCTCCCCGAGACCATACCGAGACGTTGGCGAGCTAGGTGTCTCGTTCGAATCGAACGAGCCCTTAGCTGAGGTTATGGTTCATAAGCTCAACTAAGGGCTTTCTTCACCCGAGAGAGACACATTGTGTGCTACGGAGGATTGAGACAGCGATCGATGATGATGCACCAACATCTTCCAGAACGATTCATAGTGGGAATTAGGAACTCAACAGTTGGGCTTGAAGAATTATCTTAATCTAATCCCCAGCGTTACGATCGCATGTGACATCATTGATGTCACATCAAACCTTCACCAAAAGAAATAAATGAACCGAATGGATTGATAATTTATCCAGCAAGCGAGAGACCATCGAGCTAGACGACTCGTCTAAGACGAGAGGTGACAGAACAAGTTAGCAATGATTCCATCATCTTGAGACGAAGTCAGAGTGAAGATTATACCTTCTTTCTTCCAAGTATCGTATTGACAGCCGCCGCAGCATCCACGCGGCCGAAGGAGAGAGTCTTTTCTCCTTTACTGTCCTTGACATCTTCGGTGGTCGTGTTCATGATGATACTTCTGACGTAACCGGGGGTCAGCTTAACCTTCAGAGAGGGTTCTAGGCTGTAGAGCATGCCAGCTATACCTGCTACGATAGCTGCGGCACCCGAAGTGCCCTCACCAATGCCATACGTCCCGTCAAGACTAGTTACAACTGTTTCGGAACCTGGAGCGGCGATGTCGACAGCTGAACCAAAATTGCTTTCGTCCATAAGCTGCATTTTGGTACCATACGTTGCAGCCACACATAACATTCCATCAGTGAGTGAACGGCCGAGGGAACAAGGGAAGAATGGGGATATGTCCAGATCCAGCTGAGCATTCCCTGCCGTGACGACAACGAGCATGCCAGCTGCAATTGCTTCCAGAATCTTGTCGGTAACGGCTTGGGAACCATTTGAATAGCTCCCCTCCGTCATGAAAATAACTTTCACATCATTTTTCCTCTCATTGATCAGGTAGGCGAAGGCATCTACCATTGTGGAAATAGTCGAAAGTTCACCCGTACATATGGGCAGTATGCGCACACTGTCCAGAATACCCGCCATACCGATCTTGTTGTTCCTGATAGCACCAACGATGCCAGCCATGCAGGTTCCATGCGGTCCTCGAGGACTGGTATCATCATTCTTATCAACGACGTTGTAGCCCTTGATGACGGTACCCTTCAAATCAGGGTGAGTGGCCTCGATTCCGTCGTCAATAACTGCGATGGTTACGGGTCTTCTCTTGGTAGCAGAGTCCAGGATACTCCAAGCTTCCGGTATAGAGATGGCCTCAAGATAAGCCTTCTGCATGTAATAGTATTCGTCGTTAGGATCGCCGTTCACGGGACCGAGCCCACGGAAATGGCCATATTCGTCCACTTCTGCTTCAACGTAGAGAACGTTGCACGAGAAGAACCAGAATGACGTTACGAGGAGCTTCATTGCAAGCCACTAATATGAACAATTCGTTATGCTTCGGCGTGCCGAGGTGTACGCATGAACTACCTCTTTTGAGTTGCGCAGATTCGTTCGCGCACGCGAAATTTTTCTCGCGGCACAATATTTTCTCGTGGGGCACAATTCTCTCTTCACAGGCACCAAGTTTTTTTCGGGCGAGCACAAACAAAAGACTCTGATAATCCGTTCCTCCGATTTTGGACTCAGTCAGGCTCAGCTCCGGCTATCATCCGGGTAATGGCTGTTAATACAAGTGCAATGCAAACTACGCCGTAGTTTCGGACGCCACGCCGATAGTTATGGCGTGGTGTTGAGAGTAAGCTAACTCGGCGTGGTGTTTCACGCCGTAGTTACTACGGGCTCCCCAAAAAAGAAGGAACTGCAGATGAAAGCGGAGAAAGGGAAACCCGAAACCCCAGTGGGTTACCCTACCCGAGACACCACGGGACACCCGAAATACGAACTGTTATCGAGGCTTAAGACGTTACTCATGTGAACCACAAACCTGCAGTAGTGGCCATACGAATCTTGGTCGCGCGAGAGTTTGTGCCGGGAAAAATTTGCGCCTCTCGGGGACAAATTTGTGCCGCCGAGAAACAATTTTGTGCGGGGGAAAATGGTACGTAACTGTGGAGGAGGGACCTGTATAGATAGCACGAGTCATCAAGTGCATGAGCTCAGGTTTGGAGAGCCTATCTAAACCTGGGTACGAGGACGGGTGTCCCAGGGACTTGGCTGTTCACAATGGTCGAGCAAAAGCCACTCGGTTAGCGAAACACAGGCCTCATCATGAGATTACTGGTATAGTTGCCATGCTAACACGAAACTGAAGTGCCGAACAAGGAAATCGATTTCCCTAAAGGGACGGAATTGAAGGTCTGAAAAGGTGGACTCGACGAAGTTGAAAGTTCTATGATAAATTCGAAGGTTCGAAAGTCCAAGTTGGAAGTTCTATCAACACGAACTTGATCTTCCCATCGACCTCAGACGAATTTGAATATTTCATGACGAATTTGAAAGTTCTTATTGCGAATATGGTCTTCCCAATCCAGGTTCGTACCTCCAACTTCGGGGGCCCGACGAAGTTGATGGTTCCAATTTGGAACTTCCAAAAACGAACTAGATTTTTAAAAGGTGTAAAAGCAAGAAAAGCATATGAGAATGTCATACAGAGCAAACGCCTATAATGAGGATGATGAAGTTAGTATTAGCTCACAGTCCTCTTAGCATGTAATGGTGTTCCTGTTTCCGGCCGCGGAGATTCTAAAGGCGGCAACCACTGCAGCTGGCAAGAGCGAGCTTGGAGGGCCTTTTGAATACTTCACTAATGGCGAACAGTAAGCAACAGAGTTGTACTTCGCGAAAAAAACGAACCGGAAATTTTTTGTCTCGTTACATTGTGTGGTTTCCACTGGAGAGGCTCTCGAGAGGCTGGGAAGCCTTAATGCACTGTGCACCATGTGCATTATGCACAATGGTCAACTACATGTGTTGGTGACAATATAGAAAG